ATGGTCGGAGAAGTCTCTGGAAATCCACGGCGTGTCTTAGACAGGACGTACTTCGGATGCGAGACACACGCGGAATGTGATCTACGCGCGTCTTGCATGTATAATGTGGCGGTACTGTTGCGCAAGGCTCGTGTACACAGGTTCGTTCCTTAACGCGGTATCAGCGCCGGCGCGGAGCATCTATCACGCGTCAAGATTTCAGCCTTATCCTATGCTCGGTTTAATTTCACCCGGCTACCGTTAACCGGATGTTATCCGAATGCATAAACAATGGCTGCTGGGCGTGAGCTAAGTATCCAGCCGTTTGTCGCCGAATAACCTCGACGCCGGGTTTTCGTCGAGAAAGCGTGGGACTATCAATACGAATTTGCATAGATCGATAACCTATACGCCTCATCGGTGTCCCGCGGAAATATCGAACGCTTTTACGACGATATTAAACGCCTCCTTGATCCAGCCTCACCTGGCAAACGCATTAACCGCGGAGCAGAACTTTTGGTGCAACGGTAAATCGAGTCTCTGCGGATTTCACCTCCTTCGACCGAGTTTCTTCCATTTTCCAGAGGCAACCTGGCTTTTCCACGCTCCTCTCTCTTTCTCTCGCGTCGCGATATTTGCATTAGCAGTGCATTAATCCGTGAAGTTTTACTCCCATTTGCTATCCGTTTCCGCGTGCGACGGGGTAACGCGATTCCCTCTGCTGCATCCACAGCACGAGACGAGTCGCCAGCTCTAGGATCGTGTTTCACGTTCAGGCGGAAAATGTATCGCAAATATGCGTGTTCCTGGCATAATATCCGCAATAAAACGAAGGTTTCACTCCGCTCTGTAATGGAGTACGTTGTTTATGCAGTAGGGACTCGTGGTGTTTATAATCGGACGGGGGAAGATTGTTTCTAGGAGTGACGCTTGTCTGTCATGGCGTCGCACAAGGTTTCACTCCGCTCTGTAATGGAGTACGTTGTTTATGCAGTAGGGACTCGAGGTGTTTATAATCGGACGGGGGAAGATTGTTTCTAGGAGTGACGCTTGTCTGTCATGGCGTCGCGAGAGAAATAACAGTTTATCCTGTGGGAAATATAGGAAAGAAAAGAAGGGAGAGAGAACTAAATTTTGTTTCAGGTTTAAATTAAAAGAATATATATTTTATGTAAACTAATGTGATGGCGAGGACTAGCAAGGAATTGGACTGTCGCGTTCTGCCACAATGCTGGTCCAGGCTATACTCTTCGTCGTTGCACTTCAATATATCCGAATATCGAGTCGGTTCGAAGGCGAACGATAGATTTCACGGGCTCCGAGTAAAGTTTGCCCTGATATCGATCGCCAAAGTTGGCTTGATTACGGCGACCCTGAGTAAACTTGCTCGCCCCTTGTGTAAGCTCTAGATTATGATCGAGGAACGTTCGAAAGGTTGACTTTTACCACGAAATACTGGCCCTTGTTATCGCGCAAACATTATCATCGCGGATGAAGACTCAGGCGATATAACAGGGGTCCAGAGGTTTTTCCTGGTTTCAGAAAATTCGCGAGCGTGAGGATGTTTGGTGGTCGAAAAATAAAACGTTTTATTATCAGCGTGGACGAGGACACAAGCAATATAATAGGAATCCAGAGCTTTCTTCCTGTTTTCAGAAAATTCGCGAGAGCAAGGGTGTTCGGTGGTCGAAAATAAAACGCTTTATTATCATCGCGAACGAAGATGCAGGCGATATAACAGGGGGTACAGGGGGGTTTTTCCTCGTTTCAGAAAATTCACGAGAGCAAGATGTTCCGTGGTCGAAAAATAAAACGTTTCATTATCACCGCGGATGAAGACTCAGGCGATTTAACAGGGGTCCAGAGGTTTTTCCTGGTTTTAGAAAATTCGCGAGAGCAAGGGTGTTCGGTGGTCGAAAATAAAACGCTTTATTATCATCGCGAACGAAGATGCAGGCGATATAACAGGGGGTACAGGGGGGTTTTTCCTCGTTTCAAAAAATTCGCGAGGGTGAAGAAGTTTGATGGTCGAAAAATAAAACGTTTTATTATCATCGTGGACGAGGACGCAGACACAATATAATAGGAATCCAGAGCTTTTTTCTTCCTTTCAGAAAATTCGCGAGGGTAAGGATGTTTGGTGGTCGATAATTAAAACGTTTCATTGTCATGGCGAACGAAGATGCAGACGATATAATACGGGGGTCCAGGGAGGTTTTCCCTCGTTTCAGAAAATTCGTGAGATTCAGATATTTGGGTGGTCAAAAAATGGAACGTTTCATTATCATCGCGGATGAAGACTCAGGCGATATAACAGGGGTCCAGAGATTCTTCCTCGTTTCAGAAAATTCGCAAGCACGAGGATGTTCGGTGGCCAAAAAATAAAACGTTTCATTATCATCGCGGATGAAGACGCAGGCGATATAACAGAGGTCCAGAGGGGTTTTTCCTCGTTTCAGAAAATTCGCGAGGGTAAGGATGTTTGGTGGTCGATAATTAAAACGTTTCATTGTCATGGCGAACGAAGATGCAGACGATATAATACGGGGGTCCAGGGAGGTTTTCCCTCGTTTCAGAAAATTCGTGAGGTTCAGATATTTGGATGATCAAAAAATGAAACGTTTTCTGAAATAATCGTTAGCGTGCGAGTATCCCGTTGCGCTATAGCAAAATGGACGGTCGCTGTTGGTTAGCGCTCGTGTGTCGCGCTTTCACTCCGCGGGACAGGTTTAATTTCATGTCCGATCATTTCACAGATATTACTAATTATAATACGCCCTTGTTTTCGAGCGGTCTAGGCGATTTTAATTTAACGTCTCAATAATTGGCGAATCCGTTCCGGGACGAAAGCGACGCCGATCGTTGGAACGATCGTGCAATTATCCGTTAATCGTCCCAAAGTTTCGGTCCCGTGCAATCACGCGAAATTTACGAGCAAAAGCACAATCAGATTCGGTCGATATTTATCTAAGCCCGCGTACTTGTTACCCGGTATAATAATATTCTAAGGAGAGCGTGGAGCATACTTGGCCGACTGGAGCGAGATGGGATCTTTGCTGTAGCCGCTCGATCGCTCGGGTACACGTCGATAATATCTCTCTGCGAGTGAGTCGCGGCGAACAATAATTAACGGTGGCAATAAATAAGCTGGTCCCCGTATTGTGAAACGATAACGCCGGTTGTAAATGCGGCAGTTTCTGCCGCCGTTCTAATTAGTCTGACAATTATGGCGCGTTGATCCAATTCGCCGTAAGATTATACCTCGCTTATCGGCTCGGACACGACACCGTTTCACACTCTTATGCTTCGTAATTCGCCGGGCAGAAAATGGCCAATAAACCGCGTCGCGCCTGCTACCACTCTCGCGTCACTTTCTGGCCTACGGCCTAAAGAAAGCCGCAAGAGAGCGAGGGAAGACAGCTTTCCATGGGGTGCGATCGCATGGCGATATGCAAAACAAGACGAGGGTGGCCGAGACGCCATTATCGATTCTTCCTCCACTGCCTTTTCCTCGTCCCCGACATCTGTCTTCCATCCATTCATCGATCCCACGTTTCCCCCCCGTGCAAGCGAACATCGCCTTTAGACATCTTTGATCTCCGATACCCACCCTCTCCGCTCAATAGCTCGCGATCTCGCGAAAGGGCAAACGAAAGCTTTCACCAAAGTTTCCGCTCTTCTATTCGCCGTTCCCTAACCTAGCTTTTACTCCCCAGGAAATACTACCTTCCCAATATATACCTAGGTCGAGGTCCCGATTTCTCTTCCAAAGTGCCATTTTTACGATTCGAATTTCGCATTCATTCGAATGGAAGGAAAAGCGTGAAACGGTGAAAAGGCTGCGCATAATCCCATCGACAACGGGATTTATTTCTCGAGTTTTGTGAAAAGAAGTTAGGTAGCAGATGGGACACACGGTAGCGGGTCAAAGATGTCGGAAATGGTAGCAAAGGTGCAATCGGTGGCATTGTAACAGCTCAAACGATTCGGCCCGAGCTAAACTATCATCGTGGTCTTTCGGAACGGTCGCTGCGCCACTCGGAGCAGCCGTGGTTAACGTTCCCCCGGAGGGTGCTCCACCCTCGACGAGTGCTCATTGAAAGCGGAGAGCGCTCTTGCCGTTGAAAGGCGTGTCCCAATTTGATTTCCTTTGCCTGGCAGGGAGCACCGCGATGGACCCCTCCGAACGAAGGTGTGGTCGATGAACGACCTGTCTCCAAGGGATACGCGTCGATTGACTAAATTGGCAATGGTTCGTTTGACAGGTTGTTTACGCGAGGATCGGGACCCGCGGATGTATATAACGCGTTGGGCCCCGACTAGGGTCCAAGTGTGGCTTTATCACGTTCACGACCCGCGTCGCGTAAAGTTGCAACGTACTCGCGAAAAGAAGCCTCGCGGGAAGGATTACGACACGTGGAAGAGTGTACGAGACCATAGAACATCCGCCACTTAACTCGTTGCCTCGTCCTATCCCCCACCGTTAAGGTTGCCTGGCAAAATTGCTCGTAATTCATATTGTCTCATTCCGGCGTAACGGTGCATCCAATCAACGCCAATCTCGCTTCGGAAACGCTGAGTTGTAAAAACGGCCGCGTCCAGTTCGCGGAGGGACACACCGTGCCCCGTTTCGTCGCGCTTATGTAGATACGTGGTGGAGGCCTAATCTGGCCATTTTCCAGCAGTAATTTCCACCGGCGCGCTGTGGCGGAGGGGGACGGAAGGACGCGAGGATGCGACAGCGTAACGAAATGTCGCCGTCGTGGGGCACACGTGGAACGGCTACCCCTTGGAGCACGGCATAAACCGTGTAACTAGTCGTGTTTGCTGGCGAATAAAAAAGGAAGTGGTCGGTATAATGGACGGACAGTCGGTAGCCGCGGTACGGTTGTAACGGATCGTTACATGGAAAAATGTCCAGCCAGCCGGCTAGCTCGAACGCTGGAATGCGCTCCGCGGGCTATGCTAGAGAAGTACGTATAGGGATAATTCAGGATAACGCGGCGTGTACGTCGACTCACCTGAAACAAATTGTAACCTTTATCGTACATCCACATCTCGTCGGCTGGATGCTCCTTGGGACTCTCCCGTTGGCTGGCGTTCAGAACCTGAGGAGGCGGACCCCTGGTCAGCTGAATCGCCAGGGACCTTTGTAAGAGCAAGAGGCATCGGGAGGGTCCCGAGCCTCCGGGGCCCGTCCCGTCTCCCAACATCGAGGCCATTTTTCGAGGCCCGTTGCTAACGATTCCAAACACTCGGCGGCGGTGGCATCACGGGGTCTGAAAAACAGCAAACGAACCCGTTAACGTGTTTCTGATGTAGCAATCTCGCTGCGTCTCCTCTTTGGAAACAGAGCGAGTGAGAGAGAAACAGAGTCGGAGGGAAAAAAGGAAGCTGGAGTTCGAGTTAGATCGAAGATCGATTTACTTTTTTGCCTCCATCTTTGGAGCACTAATTTAGCAATCGAGTTTGATGAATTCGCACATCTCCAGACCCTAAAGCCTTTTCGTAGGTAGTTCGTAGAATCCTCTGAATTTCTTCGCATACTCGAGCTTTTATCGCGATAATTCTTATCCGCAGTTACGCCCAGGAATGATAACGCTCGCGGAGTTCGCTGTACCGTTATCCCGTTCGCGAAACTTTCGCGCAAACTCGAGTGTTGAGCATACCATCAGCGGTGAGATGGATGGATGGAGCGTTCGAGCGGCACTTTGCATTAGTTACATTATTCCACGAAGCTACTCGAGGATTCCTCCGACGTTCCTACGCGCGAGACCTCGTATCGACGCTTGGCAATTAGTGCCTCTCAAGACTAATTAAACTCCGTTGTAAAATGCCGCGAAGAGCTGTAAAACGCTGAACGCTCGGACCGATTTACAAAAAGGCTCGAGCCTGACATTTCCCTCGCGAATCGTAAACTTTCGAAATAACCCTGCGTGCGTTTCATTTCTCCGTGGAACATCTTCTCGACGATCGATTGGCATTTCAGCTGAAGAGTTAACAGCGACGATGACCAAACGTCAGAGGCATTCGAGGAACGAATGCACACTGTGCACACCGGAGGAAGTTCTCCACGCGTCACGTTCGGTTCACCCTCCTGCTTGCCCCTCGTTTCCTGCTGTTCATAAGGCAACGTCACGTTTCTCTTTATTGTATCGAGAACTACCACGTCGGTGGTCTAATTGATTTACGTCCTGCTCCCTTCGGTCATCAGCGGCCCGGCGGAATTTCATCCGCAAGACTCCGCGCGGCCACCGGGACCGGGACTCGGGAAAGGGTAGCAGAGAGCGAGAGAAGGGTTCCCGAGGAGAATGATGTACGAAGGGGACATGATTACACGAGGATGAGGGCTCCGAAGGCGAAACTCCGGTCGGAAGAAATTGTTTCACGGAGGATTCCTTTTTTGGAAACTTCGTTACGCGTCAGATGTGCCGGAGGACCCGGTGTCTGGTCCCTTTAGAGAATACCGTTTCGTTTCGTTTCGTGTCGTTTCGTTTCGCCACGAAAACGCATTTATCTCGGATTTATAGCAAAGTCCCGGCGACTTCTCCAGCCCCGGGCGAAGAAAAATGGCGCGGATAGGGGTGGGCCGTGATAACGCTGCGAATGAATATTATATCGCTTCGCGACGTGCCAAGGTACACGCTCTAAAATGCCTAGATCTTTTCGGTAAAATGGCACGGCCGTAAATTTGGCACGGAAGCCCGGCAATTACGGTCGCGTCGAATCGCCGGGCCCGGAAGGAATCAACGAAGTAATCTCGCGCCTTTGGCAACGCTCCAAGGCGCGGTCGATCCACACAATTCCTCTAATATAGCGTTGCAGTTTGCACTGCCTCGAAGAAATTGCACCGACCGTGGAATTCGCGAATATTTTGCTCTCTTTGCCTGTCCCCCGGGGTCAGTCTAAATTCATTGCCCCTGTAAACTTTTTCGCGTTCCGCGCTGGAACGCGAGAAGAAAGGAGACGCGTTGACAGTGTGATATGAAATTTCGCGGTGACGAATATCCACCTTCGTATTTACTCGTTTATTATTTTATTTTCTTTCGCAAATTACAAAATACTTCTTTATTCGGGAAATATTTCTTTTTCCTGCCTCTCTTGCGAAAGGAAATTTGAAAAGAAAATATTCCAAAATAAATTTATTTAACGTCAAACAAAATTATTATTATTATTGGATGTATATGTTGCATCTGTGTATATACTCATGGTGGACGGTTCTAATGTGGATAGAAATGGATACCAATATCTTGTACGATTTTTAATACTTAACAAATTAACCCCTTGCACTCTCAGTCATCGTTTGTTTTAATGCTATAACTTAAGCAATGACTGATGATAATTATATTAAGAACATCGAAATAAAATTATTCTATTCGTTCGTTTCTCACGCAAATTCATGATTTTCTTTTTGTAATTTTAGCATAAAGAGTATCAGTGAGCTTATAAAAATCTAAGAAGAGCTTCGAATTGCATCTACACAACGATGAAATCTTCGAGTCGAAAGGGTTAATATATTTAGATAATAATATTTAAATATTGACAACAATTCGAAATAAACTATTTCAAACAAAAAGATTCACACTATCTAGAAAATTCTTCTCTATCTCTATCACTCTTATTAACCCTTTGCACTCGAGAGACGCCCCCCTCAGTCGCCATTTGATAAAATTTCGAAGTTCCATATTAATTAATATATCAAATTTAAAATAATATAACATTGCGCGAGATATCGAAATTAAATAATTCTACGTGTTAATAATTCTACGATTTCTTATTTACTGCTCAAAAAATATCATCGTCCGTATAGCAGAAAATATTTCAACTCGTACCCTTCTTTAGCCAAAAAGTCGTAGAGCACAAAGGGTTAACACATGTTTATTCTTAAATGATTCTCATGTAACTATTTTATTCTGACACATTCTTACACAGTTTTAACATTTTTAAACATCATTCATACTAGAACTCCACTCGTATATATTGAATTTATCTGATCACACATGATTTTTCACTTATTCCATCTCATTCTCATTTACATTCATATAAAATCAACACTAACGCTCTCATAAAACCAACACTCGCATTTAGTACAGTTGTATATTGCATATGCAACTGCGATTACTATTCTTTCGTGTATTCTCACGGGGTTTTACACCAATGTTAAACCACTCTTCAAGAACTACACCATAATCTTAACTACCTGCTATCATACCAGTCGAATAAACTCGCGGCATCCGTTTCCTCGCGCGAATCAATTACCTCAACGTTCGAATCGATGATTGCACTATCATTAACTCTGTTGCACCTGAAATCGCCATTTTCCAACTTTTAATTAAAAATTCCGCGCTCCACGTTATCCCTATTTCCACTCTTCATCGTTTCTCATCCCTTTCCGTTGCTCTGCCAATTCTCATCGTAGATAAGAATATTAAATATCCTTTGTGTGACGAAGCCTCCTAGATCTCCAGTCCCAAGTGATCAAACTAACCAACAGACAAACGCATCCCAATCAAACCAAATTACTCACTCGAACTTTCACTTCGGGACGCAAATTTGCACACCGCGATTATTCATTTGGCAACTGTGACTCTGACCTGTTCCTCGTCGAGATGCGTTTTCTAAATAGATCGTTGGATAGCAGCAATGGATTGTTGGGTGGCAGCAAAACGACGGTGGTAAATAATAAACAATTTATCGTGAACTAACTTATTCTGAGCTTATGACTTTCACACTCTGACTATCTCTCAAAGAGCTGTCCCGTTTCACGCTCTTGCACCCTTATTTAACACGTTGAGTGCGTCGATTTTGCTATACTTTCGGCTCAGGTGACAGAGTTTGACGTACGCCCTGTCAAAGAATCTCTCAGTGTCTCTGAAACACCGCAGAGTTTCAGACAGATTTTCAAACTCGACTGAAAAATTGGTCTCCATGAAACGCGAAAGGTTAAGGGTTAAACAGAGTTAAAAATCGATTTCGATGCAGAATAAAGCTTCCGGTTCCTTAACACGTTGAGTGCGGCGCCGAATTATACTTTCTGCTCAGGTGGCAGCGGAATTTTTGGATCAAGGGTATTTTAACCCTTTGCACTCGACGATGTTTTCGTTACAGAAAAATAGTAATTCGAAGATTTTCTGTCATAACATCGAGGGTATCTTTAAAATGGCGAATAAGAAATCGCATGCAAATTAAGACGTAGAATTATTTTACTTCGATATTGCATGCATTGTTAGGTAATTTTGAATTTGATATGTTAATTAACATGGATCTTTAGAATCTAATTAAATGGTGACTGAGAGACGCCTCCCGAGTGCAAAGGGTTAAGTATAAAGATAATGGACCAGTAATGCCAGAAATTGACAGATACCAACAGCTGGTCGGAGCATTATTATACGTAGCAGTACTAGAACGGACAGATCCGCGAATATCGCTATTTTAACACTAGAACTACCGATCTTTAATGGGTGTCTAACTATAACGTGCTCAGATTATAGTAATTAACAGCGGTGCGATGAATATGAGTGAATATATCGATTACAGTTCTTTCTTAATACGAGTTGATACCAATTTTATTCTCAACCCCTTGACTATGGCAGACTTTGAAACGCAGCGATTGTATCATACGATAGGAATTGAGATACGATGTGCGCCATTTTTGCGAAAGACCCCTTGACTATGGCAGACTGAAACGCAGCGATTGTATCATACGATAGGAATTGAGATACGATGTGCGCCATTTTTGCGAAAGCAAGCGCCCTCCGTGTCAGGAAGCCGAACTACGCCGAGCGTCTATAGGCGCCCTCCGTGTCACAAACGCAAAATTTTTAAACACCTATAGGTGCCACCAGTAATCTAGGGGTTTAAAGCAGGTGTATGTGTTCGGTGATTGCAAAAAGGAAAATTCTGGGACCAGTCATTTTGACTGATTTGGTAGTTCTAGTGTTAAGTCTACGCAGCAAGCACTGTACGACAAATGACAGAGGCATGTACAGTCATACCTACACAAGAAGTACTGTCACAAGCGGTCACCTTATACCCTAATCACGCCACACGCTAACCATTCCCACAGATAATCGATTTTTCGTACTTCTTTCTACAATACCACCAACTGCATCAGTCTGCCAAGATATTTCCGAAGGAAGCAACCGTAAACGGGAAATTACGATCTTTATTTACCTTGTATCTTAACTCCATGACTTCCTATACGCCTCGTTAGATACTAAACGAGGAATTTTCCGTAAAACGAGAAACGGGAGGAATACAGAGGCGATACACGGGCGCT